ATAGAAGAAAAAAATATGAATGTTTGGGTAAATTTTTTGACTTTTTATGAAAAAATATATATTAAAATATTGCATAAAATTGTATTATTACCAGATTATGCTCACTAACACAAGCAGTTGGACTGTGCAGTGTACTTGCTGTCCCTTTTAATTTTTTTTTTTTTATGGCATGTGTGGCTTAGAAGTATGCCACGTCATCAAACCAATTGAGATGTGTGGCTGCACAGTGTTGTGCAGCGTCGTTTTGCACTTCTTCTTTTTTTTTTTTCAATTGACAGATTTCCCGCCAAAAAAAGTGGTGAATAGTATGGACTTTTTTGCTTTTTTAGTGACTTTTTGACTTTTTGAATTTTTCTAATGATGCCAAACTTAGCCTTAGTCCTATGTTATTTCCCCTATCCCCAACATAAATCATGGGCTCCTACCCCCTCTCTATCAATCAAAACTTTATAGAGTATCACGTGTTTATACTCCAGAAATACTGAATAATCACCATTATTCAATGTTGATGTTTTAACATTGTTTTTTTTCCTTTTTTAAATTAGGGTAAATTATATTGATAGTCTGTAAATTTTTTTTTTTTTTTTTGTCGTTTTGATTACTATACTTTCAATTAATTCAATTTTGACTCTTAATATGGTGGCATCTTTACATCTAATTTGGTCTAATTAATAATGACATTAGAATTTTTGACGAAAAGTTATTACTAGTTGATGTTAATTTAATGAATTTGTAGAGTTTATAAATTTGCTCCTAAAGAATGACACATGTCGCTCATATGTGTATTTTTTATAATTTTTTTAATAATTATAATAAATTAAATTAATTGGGACAAAGTCAAAAATATATAGTCAAAATTAAGTTAATTTAAATTACATGAATCAAAATGATACAAAGGCAAAATATAAGAATTACTAGTGTAATTTACCTTAAAATTTATTTCTACAAAAAAATAATTTTAGGACAAATAAACATATTATATACTAATTCAATTTATATATAATTTTTTGAATAAATTACACTGACACCTCCTGAGATTTCTTTTTAATACATATCATTCCCTCACATTTGAAAAATTACATTCCTCTCTCTGAGATTTGTAATCTCACTACAAATTGCCCCATAGATTTCTGATTTTCATGCTCTAAAATTTTCTGAATGACCATCTTATCCTTTTTCCTACCATTTCTTCTTTCGATCATCATAACTACATTTTACAACTTTCCATCATTAAATTCTACTTGAACATATTCTTATTGAGTGATGATATACAAACATAAATTTTATATAGAATTTTTAAACACAATGATATAGTTTGATGGTGACCTTTCACTTTAAAACAAATTACTCATAAACATGATTTATATTTATAAAAATATCACTATCACAACATTTTTATGATATTTTTTGTACAAATTTTTATATATGAATATAATTTTTCATTTTTATTTCCACTATTATATCTAGATTAGATCAATTTAATTTAGATATATTTAAAAGCATAAAATTTATACAAACAACTCAAAAAAAATATTGAATACAATAAAATAAGATAATTTATTGAATTTTTGTATTTATATATTTTTTGTATTTGGTGAATTTAAAAAAAAAATCACAATATTATACTTCTTAAGTATATCTAGATTATGTGTATTTAAAAATAAAAATATATTAAAATATTAAAAAAAATTCAGTAAAAATAAAATAAAAAAATGAAAAATAATAAAAAAAATCTCAATTTTTTGTGTTAGTTAAACCAAAGAGGATGATTTTTATTTCTCTTGAAATAATATGAACAAAATATCTGCATTATTTTACTATTTTATATGTATAAAGGGTAAGGGACAAATATGTCATTTTAATTTAACAAGAGAGTAAGTATAACTTTTCAAATATGAGGCGAGATCTGTATTAAACAGAAATCTCAAGGGTGTCAGTGTAATTTACCCTATTTTTTTTTCAACTATTCAAACCTATTCAAATTTTTTAACAAAGAATAATGATTTTTTTTTTTTTTGAACGCCAAAAAAGAATGTTTTGAGGTGTCATTACTGTATCCGTAGGCCTAGGTTCTGGGGTAACCGGTTGTCAGCCTGATTTAACCCAACCCATAAAAAGGAACTCACTACCAAGTGTCATGGTCTTAACTTTTCCAAGCCAACCGTGTGGCCTTGGTTGCTTGTAGCACGTCTTGCTTACACCTAAGTAAGCCTTCTTGGAAGAGAGCTAGAAAAGGTTCACACACAAAAGAAAGTGTAGAGAAAGTTAGAGAGAAATCTCTTGGAGAATGCTTGCTTGTATTACTTTGAAATGCTTTGGATATACTTGGATGGTTTGGGCCAATGAGGCTCTCCCCAATTTTATAGGCTACAATGAACATTCTAGAACTGCAAGGATAGAGAGTGTTCTAGACACTTCCTTCTACTACATCTTAATAAACTATTCTAGAATATACATAACTAGAAGGATCTACAAATATCTACAATTATGTACAAGTCTCTATAAAACTCTCGAGAGTTCTAGAATCTTCCAGCAATCTCCAGAACCTCCCATGGCTTTGTAGTGAGGGACAACTTCAAACTTTGTCAGTCTATGACACAATGCACTAGCGGAACTCAATCACAATTTACAGACGAGCTCAAGAATCAATCAGAGTACAGGGCGAGGTCTCCGACAAAAACCATTGGAATTACCTAGCATTTCTCTCTTCCCAAGAATCAAACATGGGTCACGCTTTCTCCACTAGGCCACCACCCTGATGGTAAAAAATAATGATTGATTCTCTAATTTTGCGCCTCCAATACCATTCCTAATGATGTAAAATTAAAGAAATTAAAGATAAGAGGAACAGAAATGTAGGACTATTTTACATGAGAGTGGATTATTAGAAGTGAGATTGAAAGGATAAAATTAAGGGACATTACTCTTTTAACAAATATGAATTTCATTTAGGCCTAGTTTGGCATCCTGAAAAAAGATAAAAAATCAAAAAAATTACTAAAAAGTTAAAAAAAATTAACATTATTCACAATATTTTAATGGTACAAAACAAAAATAAAAATATTATATCAAAACAGTACACATCAAGGGCCCAAAGCAAAAAAAAAAATTAAAAACAATTTTTTATATGATTGATGGAGACATCCATCACTGCCACACACGTCCAAACAAAATAAAAAATAAAAATAAATTTTCAAATATTGTACCAGACCACTGTGGAAAAGAACGAAAAAAAAAAATTTCTAACTTTTTCCTGTACACACAGATCCGTACTGACATACATGCGGATTTATATAGGTAAAATTGTAATTTTGCTAATTTATATAATATTTTAATATATATTTTTTTCTAAAAAATTAAAAAATTAACCTAAATAATCATATTTTTTGCTTTAATTTTTTAATCTAAAAAATCAAAAAATATACTTATTTCAGACGACTCAAACAATCCCTTAATTTGTTTTCACCTTTACCCATTCACTACAATTGATCTCAATCGGAAAACGGTGGCTTGTTTCAACACTTTTTTTTTTCTTTTTAAATATTTTTTTAATAAGCTTTTTCGTTGCCCCTAAAATCAACCTAAACTGTAACAGGTGGCTTTTGCGTTAAGCCGTGCCGCATAGTGTTTTAATTTTTTTTTTTTAAATTTTCTTTAGTATAAAGTCTTCGTTTCGGGTGTGGGTAGATTTTTTAACTTTTTAATTTTTTAATTATTTTAATCTAAGATTAAAAAGTTTCGTTTAAGATAGATTTTTTGACCTTTTTAACTTTTGTTAGAGAAAAAATTTAATAATTATAGTTTGAATATGACATTTTATTTTATTAAATTAAAAATTCTATTTTATGTTTTTGTAACTAAAATAGGCCTAATTCAACCCAACCCAACCCTTCCTCCCAAAGAAACCCAAACAAAACGGACCGTTACCTCCCCATTCCACCTTTTCTTGCGAGTAGTTTTTAAAATCATAATTTGATTGTTCTATTACTTGTCCCACCTCCCACTTGATGCACAATTGGTGATTTTAATCTAAAATAGTGATTTTTTTAATATTATGTCTAAATTTTTTATTTTTTTGATCTGTTTTGTTGAGATGAATCTAAAAAATATATTTTTTAAAAAATTCCAAAAAAAAAAATCACTAAAGAAGAAAATAAGCTAAAAAAACATTGCTTATTTTAGCTTATTTTGGTATTTTTAATTTTTTTTTTTGGATTTTTTTTAAAAAATTATAATTTTCCAATCTAGAAATCTAAAACATTTTGAATTTGTTTTTAAAAATTAACCAAACATGAAAATAAGTACAAAAAAATCAAAAATCAAAAATCAAAAAATGCACTTCCCAAAACACCCTTAAAGAAAATAAGAAAGTAATATGACACTGTGGTTTGTGTGGGTGATATTCAATATTGTAATATCACTTCACTGCTGGGTTGATTGACTAGATTCAGGAAGCACGTGATTTATCCACGAGGTTTTAGATCAAAGAAAAGGTATGATCTAAATATTTTATTCCGCTGCATGTTTTATACTTTGATTTACAATCACATTTATAACAAAAAGAAATATGATTTATTTTTAAAAACACATTTGTCGCTAATTTTTTTTTGTACACAAATACAATTAATTAAATAGGTTACAATTATTGGACTGACTTAATTTTTTTTTTATTTTATATATGATACACACAAATAACCCTACAAAATGAATGATTTTAATTATAAAAATGAAACATATGTTGGACTCCACGAGCCCATACAACAATCCAACTCAAAATTATCAAATCATTATAATTTTTAATTTTTTAAAAAATTTAAAATAAATATTTATTAATGTCAACAATCTTGGTCATCAAATAACAAACTACCATTTCATCCATGCGACGTGGATAAGATCTAAACTCGAAGCCGCCCTCATGTTTGACTGATCTGCGGAATATTAAAAGAATAATCCAACCTTCCTTCTTCCGCATCACCTATATATAGGTACCCACATTAGCAATCTCATAATCACACAAACTCAATAAAACAAGAACATAAAATAGAAACAAAAACAATGAGGTTTTGCATACTAGTTTTGTTTTCTATCATCTCCCTATTAGGAGCCACAGCACAAGATATTAGCTCTCTTATCAGCAGGGATCTCTTCAATCAGATGTTGAAGCACCGGAACGATGCTAGTTGCCCCGGAAATGGGTTCTACACTTATGATGCTTTTGTAGCTGCTGCCAAGTCTTTTGGGGGTTTTGGAACCACCGGAGATACTAACACTCGTAAGAGAGAGATTGCGGCCTTTCTAGCTCAAACTTCGCATGAAACTACTGGTACATTTTTACACTATTTATTTATATTATGATCATATCGATGCATGTTATGTTTTTAAATTCATTGAGTCATAACAAGTGAGAATTCTGTATAAAATTTTTGTTTCTACATTATTATTGATTAGATTACCATGGGTATATAGGTGGGTGGCCAAGTGCGCCAGATGGACCATATGCATGGGGATATTGCCATGTACGGGAACAAAACCCTGCTGGGGACTATTGTAGTCCAAGTCAAGAATGGCCCTGTGCTCCTGGTAAACAATACTATGGTCGTGGTCCCATCCAAATTTCACAGTGAGTGTTTCTCTCTCTGAATTTCCAAAAAAACATAAAATAAAATGAAATTAGTTAAAAAAAAAATTAGTATGTGATATAAATTTAAACTTCTTGTGATGTAAACTAAATTTAAAATGAATTTTATTCACACTAAATTTTTTACAACTTTTTCGCTCAAAAAATTAAAATGCGAGAAGATTGCAATTTATTTTTTAGACAAAAGAATTCAATATTAACATGGCTCTGGGCTTGTATTGTAACGGTTTTGATGATTAGAACAGTTTAACTTAAAAAAAATGAGTTAGTTATACATATAAAAAACCAACTTAATTGCATATTGACAACTACATGATTGAATTATATTTTTCTTAAAAAAAATGAACGACAAGTATATGATTTCAAAAATTAACCAAAATTTTTTCTTAATACAAATTTAAAACAATCAAATGCCTGTATCTGATTAATTTATTTTTTTGTATAAATGATATGTTTGATAAATCTTATAAATTAAATAATTTAAATCATTAAAAAAAGAAAATGCCTAAAATAACCTCACATCCATGTAAACCGAATCGTCCAGTGTAAAAAGTGGACTAGAGACTTCAATTAAATAATAATAATTACATACCAAGTGCTGACTTTGACCCTGACTTGACGTGCCGCAGCAACTACAACTACGGTCCAGCAGGGAAAGCCATAGGGTCTGATCTGTTGGGCAACCCAGACTTGGTCGCAAATAACCCAACCATATCTTTCAAGACAGCATTGTGGTTCTGGATGACACCGCAATCCCCAAAACCCTCGTGCCACGCTGTCATCACGGGCAGGTGGACACCATCTAGTGCGGACACCTCAGCAGGTCGGGTCCCTGGCTACGGTGTGATTACAAACATCATCAATGGCGGACTTGAATGTGGCAAAGGCTCTAATGCAAAGGCAGAGGACCGGATCGGATTCTATAAAAGATACTGTGACTTGTTCGGAGTGGGATATGGCAACAATCTTGATTGCAATAACCAACGGCCTTTTGCATGATCTTAGTACTACTACTTTTTGGGATAAGTTGCTGCCAAATTATATGGCTTGGATGTGCTATGATCAATAAAAATTTGATATATATACACAAATAAATATTAATGAATAAATGAATAAACTCCCTCGGATCAGAAATAAGTGCTCATGAGTATTCTTGTATCACAAGATTGTACCATGTTCTTTGATGAATGAAAAATCTACAGCATTTGAAATTGATGGGTTGTGGCTTCTTCATTTCTTTTTCTTTGTTCAGATTCAAATCTATGCAAGACGGTCTACAATATACACTGCACTGGGTTCTCGGCTTCTTGAATATGGAAGTTCAACTGAACATATATATACCCCTTTGTTAATCTTTTATTTTTGTAAAAAGTTCACTAAAAATTACAAAAAAAAGAGGTCATATTTTTTATACTTTTTCGACAATACCATATACACTATCATATTAGTTTGTTTACGATTATATATATATGATTATTTTTTAATTTTATTTTATAGTATCAATATGACATTAATAAACCTGCCAAAAAATTGGCATGTGCACACTCAGCATTTTTTTAGGACACAATTAAAAGTTAATAAAGTGAGATTTTGGTAAAAATATAATGACCAAAACAAGAATTTACTAAAAAGTGTAAGAATAGTAATGAGATGAGAAAAATATCACACGGCTCATATGTCAATTTTGATCAGCATCCAAAACAACTTAAGTGAGAAGATAGAAGCAATTGATAAACACTATTAAAAGTAAAAAGGGCAAAGTGAAATTTTGGTACAAGTACACGAAGGCTAAACGTAATTAACTTTAAGTTTGTGTTTGGTTCATAGATTTGTATAGAATTTCGAAATGAAAAGTATAGAAAAAAAAAAAAAAAAAAAAAAAAAAAGGACCAAAAGAAAATGTGAATAAAATATGAATCAAATAGTTACAATTCACACATTTTTTTCATTTCTAAATTCCTACCCAAATATAACCTAAATATTATTTCTTGATGCTGACAATGTGGGATGGTTATCACTTCAAACCACATGGCACCTTTGAACCTCATTACAATTCAAACTTAGCCTTCTTCATGTGCATGGCACATGCCTTTTCAATACTGGAATATGCCAAATTGTTTACCATTATTCACCAATACTCTTTCTCAGAAGTTAAGCACATTGGCATAGTAGGGGCTCCAGTTGCCTAGCCATGGGCTTTTCAACTGGCTCCATAATGGATCCATAGTCAGGTGGTCCATGCTGAACTTGGGCACTTCAAGCTCTGTCAAGTGCTCTTTCATGGAACCAAATCCAAGAGAAGATGAAGAGGAAACATTCTTGATCTCTTGCTCTTCTTCTTCTTCTTCCTCTATCTTGAAAACAATGTCCTGTTGGGACACTGTCAGTGACACAAAACTTTCTTGAGGGTGGTCACTGCTGTCCTGTGATCGTGGAGACGAAGGTGTTTGATGTAATATCCTTGATTTTTCTTCTATGGCTGCCCTTTCCTCCAAAACTTTCAATGAGGTTGCTTTTCTATAAATCTTGCAGAGTACTATGTCCTCCTGCATCCACAACATATAATCAAAATCAACATATATTGTTTTTTTTCATATTGGAAATCAACTCATATTGTGAAAGGTTTGAACACGAGGACAATCACTTTAATAAGGGAATTGATTCATAAACAAATAATATATATATGCAATATTACACCAAAATGATGTGACAGTACTGACAATTTTCTAATAATAAATCAACTTGATGTGTATTTTAGTTTTGAAATGAATAAATCTAATAATAAAATTATGAATCCAGGTACCCGAACTGGTTCATTAGAAGTAGTTATAAAATTATGAATCAATTTGTTACAATTTTGATTGATAAAATTATGTAGTTACAATTATCAATGGAAAACACATCAAATTATTAGAATAGAAATCATAATGAATCCAAGTACCCAAACTGTACCGATTCAATCCACTTTTAAAAAACTTATGGCCTAATTTTCTTATAAATAAAAGGACTAATTCAGTTGAAAGTGATACATGTGAACAATCACTTATATGGAATACCTTGGGGAAGGAGGAGTTATCTGGAAGTCTATACTCATTCATCACCCAATCGGTCTTGCACCCTCGAGGTGCTCTCCCTTTATAAAAAACCAGCGTCTTTCTAAGGCCCAGGATTTTTGTAGGGTCCGACAAGCATCGAATCAGGCGGTCTGAGCCGGTTGCTTTCCAAAACCCATTCTGAGTGATTCGGTTGGGCCTTCCACCATGACCATTCCTTCTGTCTCTAGGCACAATAAAGTACCACTCTCTCTCCCCTATCTTTGCCAATCCTGCACATCTTATACACTCATATTAGCTCAATATTAACCATGACAAAACATGCATTCATTTCAAAAGAGCCAAACTCATCAACAATAATAGATTGTTGCTCCCAAAGTATGTGCTCTTGGAGTAATTTTTGGACTCTTGTCAAACACCACACTAACAAAGGGCTATGTGCTTCCATAATTAAAAAAATAAAATTGAAATAATATGAACACAAATTACTAAACAATATTGGTTGGGCACCATGTGATAATTTTTGACGCTTTGGGTCATTTTGGTTTTCAATAGTTTGACTGTATAAATTTGGTCGTCAATTTATTCAATCTATGTTTAAGTGGCCTCATTGTATGCACTTTGCGAAGTAATTTTTGGATTCATGGGATAATTTTTGGCACTGAGTAATTATTCAGTCTTTCATAAACACCACGCTAACCGGGGCTATGTATTTACAAGATCTAAAAAAGTTTAATATTAACAAATCACAAAAACTATTAGCACACAACCACGAGGTGTTCTAGACCCATGTGCTAATTTCTGGTAGTTTGAGCCAATTTGCTCTCCAATATTTTAATTGTATCAATTTGATTGTTAATTTATTCTCAGCGTTGTTTTCGTGGACAGAATTTGAATTTTTTTTTTTTTTTTGGAAGAAAACAATATTGAGACCATTTAAACATAAATTAGAAAAATTAAGGATCAAATCGATACAATTAAAATATTAAGGACTAAAAATAAAACAGAAGACTTTAACCAATATGTGTATATAGTGGTAAAGGATTACCAGGCAATTCCCAAGGTTCGTGATGGTATATGTTGAGAAAGCCGATGATGTTCAAACTCAACTTATTATTACCCATTGCAATCTTTTTGAGGTAATAGTTGAGAAGTTCTTCCTCAGTAGGGTGGAACCTGAAACCTGGTAGCTTAAGCTCTGGTGTTGTTTTGTTGTCCATTTTTTTGATAGTGGTTCAGTGCTCAAGTGTTTGATTGATGAATTAATTCTCTTCTACATGCATCCCTTAACTTTATAGGGGGAAGAGAGAGAGAGAGAGAGATAGTGGAAAATTGGTGGTCATGATTCCAGGGGTTGGTCCACACGCTTCCATAGATGAGACCAGACTGTGGTCTATTTGTTCTCATCTTTGGTTTCATATTAACATTTCTGCTACTTTATGTGCTCCACTTCACATTTGATCCAATTTTGTGTCTTTTTTTTTTTTTTTTTTTTTTATGGTCAACGAGTCTGAACTCTAGCATCCCCTACCTTCTAAAGAATACTACTGTTAACATTTGAAATTTGCATTGCTTGAAGATTTCTGCAATATTGCATGCATGTAAGGCAAGGATTAGTTTTGGTTAGAGTTGGAGTTGGGAGTTACCCAAGTGATTGGCGATAAGAAAATCTCATTTTCATTGGCATTCCTATTTTTTTGAACAATAATATTATGATTCTGAGTACATCTATGGTCTACTATGATTCTGAGTATGTCCATATCCTTTTTTTTTTTTTTTTCTGATAAGCAAAAAATTTTTTGTATTGATGAACCAAAGAGTATGTCCACATCCTATCAACTTTAATTGTATACCATCCACGTCAATTTTGGAGTAAATTTCACGGCAACAATTCATTATAAATGGTATTTTCATTTTTCAGATTGTACATAAAAATATATATATATAAAAGAGTAGATGATCCCTCTAATATAAGTGAAATTTCATTTTGGTTAGTGTAGTATCAATTTCTAACCTACACTTTTAATTGTATTTCAATATTATTCTTTCGTCAGTTTCATTAACATTTTAAATGAAAAAATGCCATGTGCAACTATTTAAGCAAGTCTTATTCAAAAAAACAAAAACGATTATTTACCAAAATAAACTAATAAATAAGCATTTTATTTTATTTCCTTTTTATTCTAGCGAATTAAATGTGACATAAAGATGATCATGTGTGAGACTTAATTCACTCATTTCACAAAATCTTATATTCAAGTACCTTCTCCGATATTTTAAATTTGATGTGATACTCTAATAATTATATTTTGGCATCAAGCATCAATTTCATCCAATGTGTCAAAAGCTGATGCAGCCTTTGTTTGGTATCACCACCTTCATGCCAAATTTGACATCAAGACTCTTTGAAATTATTATTATTATTATTATTATTTGAAACAAAGAGTTCAAATTTTGAAAATAAAAAAAGCACCTCGTTTGGTTTCAATTTTTTAATTTAATTTAATTTTTTTTTTGAAAATAAAATAATCACCTCGTTTGGTTTCAATTTTTTAATTTAATTTAATTTTTTTGAAAATTGAGTTTTTATTTTTAGTATTGTTTTAAAAAAAAAATTGTACTTTTTTAATATTTTAAGCAAATTTTTTACTTTTAAGATACACTTAATATAAATACAATTAAAAACTATAATATTTGTGAAAAAAACTTTAAAAAATTCATTAAATACAAATATATATATATATATATATATATAAATTCCATTTCGTATTCTTGTGTATTTATTAATTTTTTAAAATATATTTTTAAATATTTTACTTTTTAGGTACATTTAGGTTAGGTGAATCTAAAATGCAAAAAAATTCACTAAAGTAAAGAACTACGAAAAATAAAAAATTCAATTTTCAGATAATTGAATTCGGAAAATTGGAACAAAAAAAGGTGATAATAATAGATTTCACATATAAAGTGGAGAATTTTCATGTCAAATTGGCATACCAATTTATCACTCAAATCTTCAAAAAAATTTAGGAGAACTCATGTGTAGTTCCTAATAGATAGACTTATTGTCTAATAGATCTTATGATAATTAATGGAGTTTTTTATCAAGCATTATTAAAAACGTCACTAATTGTTAATTTTTAATAACATTTTAAAATGGTCATAAAAAATGTTACTATTTATAAATTTCAGCGACAGTTTAAAATTGTCACAAAAAAAAAGGTTACTAATTTTCAATTTTCAATGATAGTTTGAAAATTTGATACAGAAAAATGTCACTAATTGTAAATTTTACCTACATTTTATAAAAATTATGATAAAAAAATTATAATTGTCAATTTTTAGTAACATATATAAAAAAATTGTTACAAAAAATTATTTTTAACGATAATTCTATTAAAATTTATTTTTAGTAAAACTTAATGAAAATTATATGAGGTATTTATTTTCAGCGTTGAGGAGGAGACTTCTAATCCCTTGTTATTAGGATAGACCTTGGAAGGAGGGTTGGGATGGAGGAAGTAAAAGTGGTATTAGAAAAATAGTCCCAAAAATTAGAAATTATTTATTTATTTATTTATTTTTTACATGTTGGGTTTTTTTTTTTTTTAACATTAATATTTAATTTTTTATATTTTTTGTTAAGTAAAAATCATTGTTTTTATTTGCTTTATTTTTTTTTTTGAAATTTTTTACCTGTTGGGTATTTTTTTTTTAACATTAATGTTTATTTTTTTGTATTTTTTATTTGTTTTATTATTTTATATAAAAATAATTTAACAATTTTTACACTAACAACTATCATCAAAACAAATAAAATTTACTTAATCCCTTTGCTATCAATCCCCTCACTATGAATTCGCTTTATTCTACCTCTGAAAATAAACGGAGCCTTAAAGATAGACTTGGGGCTACTAATATTAAGGTTATGGGTTATGTATTTAGGTTTTGGGCTATCATTTTATGTATTATGTCAAAAATTAAATGGGTGTTTAATTTTTTTTTCTTTTCAAATATATATTAATATGCACTAATTGAGTATTATTTTTTCAGTCAACCCTAAAGACTTGTTTTGATAAATTCTCTCATCTCTGATCTCATATGTTTTCCTCTTTCTTTTTCTTCATCTTCCATCATGACATTTTTCAATTAGTGGCAGTGTAGCTGTCACGAATATATCAACCATTTTGTTCTTACAAACTTAGAATAGTACAATGTTTATTGGTTGAATTTTTTTCAAGTTGAAGTTAAAGTTTAAATTTAAATTTAATTATTATGTATGGATTCATATTGTCCAAGTTCATTATATGTCTGATAATTAAAACTGTTTATTTTATAGAATATTTTATGTATAATATTTTATTTTTATTATGTTTATTGTTGAAAAAATAAAGACAAGTTTGCTTTTAAATACAACTAACAGTTGACCCGTCCAATGTATATGTTATTTTTTAAAAAATATTTAATGGTATAATAAATTGTTACTTAAATACTTATATATATTAATTTTAGTTAAATTATTTGTATATTTTGATAATTTTAGTTCTATCGTATTATAAAAATATAATTATCATATAATAATTTTGTATGATATATATTAAATTATAAAATAGTAAAATAAATACTCATTTTAATATTAAAAATAATAATTAAATTAGAAAAAATTAGTAATATAAAATCAAAAGTAATTATAACTATTTAATTTTCTTTTATATTCATTTAGAAAATAAAATATAGAGAAACAGAAATTATATAAAATTTATTAAAAAAATTAAATATAAATATGTTGTAGTTGGATTATCATAGAATGATTTTATATGATTTATATGTATATATTAAATTATAAGATTGTAAAATAAGCACATTTAATTAAATTAAAATATCAACTATATAAAAGGAAATTTAACAGTAATTAACCAAGAAATAATCACATAACATCTAAACTCAAAAAGAAAAAGTAATGAAAATATCCAAACGACAGATACATCTAAGTGTGTAAAGTGATTAATCACCTGTATTATCATGTCAAAACATAAAAGAACTTATTATTCAATAATTGAAAAAATAACTCAAGTAGTAAATTCAAACTTTAGAGTTCTTCGAGAGTATCATTGTTGTACAGGATTTTCCTCCAGTGAAATTATATAAAATAATGAAGGAAATAAAGTATAATTTCATATATAGAATCCCTATAAAATTTAAACGACAAATTCATATTAGAGAATAATATAGAATTTGGTATTGAGTATAGAATAATGCTCAAGAAAATAAGAAGGGAAAAAAAAAAAAAAAAGACAATTTAGGCCCCGTTTGGGAACAAGCTAATTTAGTAACTTTTTGGCTATTTGGCTAAAATATGAGCTAAAAAAAACTAGTATGTTTATGATGACTTTTTGGCTTTTTACGAAAAGATGTGCAAAAAGTAGAGAGAAAAGATAATCTTTAACTTTTTGGTATGGGTTGTTAACTTTTTTTTAGTAACTTTTTAACTTTTTGGCTAAAATGGAAGGTTCCCAAACGAGGCCTTAGTATTAAAAAAAATTCTAATATCCTTGAAAGAATTAAGAAGAAAAACATAAAACACAAAATTGGTATTGAGTATGTAGATTATCTCAATTTATCATGAAAAATATGAAAAAAATTATCAAATAGAATCCATATAAAATATGTAAAGTTAGTATAATTTAAATTAAGTTTGAGATGGTGTAGAACTCTATATGTAATTAAGAAAATTCATACGGATGTGACTCACTTAGAAAAAAATAAGCTCTTATAATGTGTCACCTAGGTATGAAAAAAACATTACTTTTAATAATATATATATAATTAATATTAAGGCATCAATAAGATAGACAAAAAATAAAAAAAATATAAAAGAAAATTAATTTAATTCGTACAATGCACATAATTAAGTACATTCTGTCTTATTTATTTATTTGTATATTGAGATAATTTTTTTCAAATATCATAATAATTAAATTATAATTATATATATATACATATGAAAAATAAGTATTTCTCACATAGTGTCTATATAAAATTTGTTATTATAATTGAAATTGAATTTGTGTAGAACTTTATATATAAACAAAAAAGGCATGCTGATGTGAATTTTTTTGAAAAAAATAAGCTTTTAAAATGTGCCGCTAAAAAAAATAGATAGATTAATTATATTAAGTATTGATTTTTCTTTAATTTATATTTTAAAACTGTTTATACATATTATATATGTGTGTGTGTGTGTGTGTATATGTGTGTGTGTGTATATGAAG